GAAAGTAAACAAATTGATAGCTAAAAGTATTACGCTCCAAATAGGAAGCATCCCCGCTTTAATTTAAAAATAATTTTGCAAAATTTGCAGACAGAAGTGCTGAAGGTATAAAAGTATTCGAATTGTCACAATAATTCGAACGAAGGTTGAAAATTCTGTGTAGTTGATGCATAACACATGGCAAAACGAGTGATAAGTCGGATCATAAATTATCACCAATTTGTAAGCTTCAAAACTCCCATATTTTTAGCCTGACAGCATGAGTTTCGCCTACGAGTTCATAAATTCGATAATTGGCAATTTGGAATCAAAGCAGGAGTTGGAGACGGGTGAGTTGGTAGGTGGAGAGACCTACGAGTCTTCCGACGCGATTATTGTGGAGGTTCATGAGCTTGCGTGCTAGACCAAGAGAATTGCGAGGAAAGCTTTTTTCTTTCTCGCGAATGTCCACGAAGGCCTTGGAGAAGCGGTAGGCGTAGTCGATGTTGTCGCCACAACCGCCCCAAATCCAGTCACGGTGCAACTGCTGAGGCCGTTCCGCCTTACTGCAGCCGCAGCTCGAAAGACGCGCTTCCTTGCAACTGCGAGCCAGTGCATGCACCACACCCGCTGAGGCGATGGCGTGCGCGAAGCTAGCTTCTCGGGTTCCTGTCGAAACAGAGTGATCTACGTTCCAAATGTCCTTTTATCTACACCTTCTTTTACACGCTCTACTACTAAACCCTCAAGCTCATGATGGGTTCTAAAAGGAGTCTCTGCAAAATAACATTGTTTTACAACAGCAAGTCATGAACTTTGACTTTCGAAATTTGTTGTTTGACACAACTCAATAATCCACCTTGCTTGCAGTCGAGAGAATTTTTGTGGGTGGGTGAAGTATTTTGCATTATTAAAGCATTAACTTTGAAAAGCATAGTTGAGAAGTTCAAATTAAAGCGCTGCCTTTATATGACATTACAACCACAATCTTCATCCCATTTAAGTCTAACTCAGTTGACAATCAAGCAAGGGATGCATTATAGCAATTTGGCGTAGAGTTGTGTCACGAATGGTGATATCTTGGCCTAGCGTGACCTGCTAAATAATCCAGCTTTTATTCAAATACATTTCCAATATCCAAGCCTATAGTTCTATGGTTTTGCTACAGAAACTTGTATTTTATTTTAATGGAAGATAAAACAACGTGAACATTTCGATTTTTTAATTATATGAATTTAGAAAAGGGACACCACATTTTGAGGTGCGTTTGGTTATCAAACAAAAACTGCGCACTTATTACGCAATATGACTAGTTACTTTAGCTGCGATGATGCTTGTAAGTTTAAGAATACTTCAGCTCAGGATTAGAAGCCGAGAAATTCCTTTCCGCCCCACTCCCTTCTCTCTCTTTCACCCTCGTGATTAGGCTCCTCCACCTTGATGAAGCTGAAAGTGTTGCCTCGGTGCCAATATAGTTTTGGCTCATGAACCAAACGACCACCACCGCCGCCACAATGTCTGATTG